AATTGTTATTGTTGTTGTATTATTGTTATTTATAATTTGTAAAATTAACCTCCATGTGGTTCGACCCCGGTCTTGCCGGGTTATTTATTACTTCGACACTCCTGCACTTGGGAGAAGACATCAATCTTTTAGTCTTGTCATTAAGCTAGTACATAAGGTTGGATAATATACAAATCCAAAGTTAGAAGGATCTTATATATGCTTTCATTAAGCAATACAAATCTAACCTGGACATGACTCCAAACAAATCTAGTTTATTAGTGTTGGAGAAAGGAAGCCATTAATCAGTCTAAAAGTATGCATAATGGTGGAGAGAAAAGGCTCTAGTTGATCCACCCTTACTTAAGAAAAAAATGATCAATCTATTTTCTAATACTTTCACAAACCCTTCATTTGATCATCTGATAGATGCCCTAACATAGCACTTCACTAACATTGTAATAGCGGCTAAGAGAATTAAGCAAGCTATAAGAGCTTATAAAATTACCACTAATAAAGAGAGGTCCATCAATTAGGATCTAACCAAAATTAGGTCCAAGAAAATAATGGAACAATAGGTAGAGAGGCTAAGGAAAAAAATGACACTCTCATGTCCAGTTCCTAACATCTACATTTGTCATATTCCCTCAAAATTAACTAACTATTGGTCAAAATAGTAAACAACCACATAAAAATCCACAATAGAACAAGAATACCTTACCACCTCTTCCTTTGCCTTTGAAAAAGATGTTTGAGGAATTGATAAGTATTGGATAAATCACTTTGATTTTATAAAAACAATTTTGACCACCATACCCAAAGTAGAATGAATCTGACCAAATATTTGAGTATCATAATGGAGAAATGAGGCATAATATTAGAAATTGTTATTTTTTCAAGGACAATCTTCTTTAGTTTATTGAGGTCGAGTGGGTTATATTTGAGGGTTAGAAAACCTCTAAAGGGTAATGTAGATGAATAAATGAGTCAATTATGAAAACTTCAAATGTTAAAGAAATAAAAAAGCCAGATTGTTGTAGTCAACATGCTTTGTCATTGTAAACAAGTTCTTGAATACTATATTTTATTTTTAGATGTTTTGTCTAATTTTATAATATTAAAAATATCTTTCAATCTAATTGTTGAATTTGAGTGAAATTTGACAACGAGTCTTTTGACATATATTTTTATCTTGAGTTTACATTTCTGGACAATAAAAGCTCTAGAAAACCTCAAAGATAAAAATGCCAATACCGAATTAGTGCATAAAAAACGAGAAGATTAATTGTGGTGTCATCAAACAAGGCTTAAGGCATTTTACGGGGGAATATAATTATATGGGGACAAGACACGCATGATTTTTTCTTCCAGCATGTGTTTTCCAAAACTGCCCCCTATGCCATTATTTCTTTCATTTCTCTTGACCAAAACCACTTGTGTATCCTTGCAAATAAGAGCCTTGAGTGAGTTAGTGTATATGTGAGAAGAAGAAATCTATATTAGGAGATATTGAGAGGGAGATGGATGGTTTTTTTTAGTGAAAGAATTAGCAGGTAAGGTAAGGGATTCTTAAGAAGAAGAAGAAGAAGAAGAAGAAGCTGGAGGTAAAATAAAAGCATGACAAGCACTACTACAAAGCTCATCGCACTGACTTCACCATTAGATCGATCCAATTTTTGGATAATATGTTCTACTCAACCTCATATACAATATGACCATTGAGTATTCAAATATCAAATTTCTTTTAAAAGTTATAATCAACAAGGTGAAAATTGTACAAAGTTGGGATTTCTTACTTTTGAGTAGTTAACTTTAGCACCATATTTCTCCTTCATCTATAATTGGATTGCTATAAAAAGTGGAAGAGAGGTTTATAAGATCTATTGATTATGTGAACGATGGAGATTAGAAATAAAGCTACCAGGAAGAAATTGTTCATCTTTAACAATAAGGGATTCGAAACCCTGATTTCCAGATTAGTATGATTGTATAAAGGAAATCGTGTCTAATTTAAATGTTAAATCATTTGGATTTTAAGATATGTTATGCAAGACTTTGAATTATATATTATAACCGTTATGTTTAAACATATAATCTACGGTTAATTACTTATTTCTTTTTGAAATTGTTGCTAATTTCTGTAAAATTTAGAAAACTTAATTGAATACATGTTTTGATGAAATTAGAATTATGTAGATGTTAGGGTTTGTATAAATGTTTGATAATGGAATTTTGATTAAAAAACATGTTAAGTCGCAATGGAAGGACACAAAACTAAGGAATTAGAAAAGAAAATTGGAAAAAAAAAGTCAAGAGAAAACCAATATTGTAGGGCTGGCTAATTTTGGTATTAAACTCCATATGAGAATAAGACTTGAAAATAACAAAATTTATGATAAAGCTCTTTACAAAACTTGTAGGTATGGGCTTTTATCTTTAAAATGGAGTTGGACTTGGACTTGATTTAATTGGAAATTGACGTTGTATAACTCCATGTATAAACCACAAACTGAGTAAAAGTTTAATTGATATAAATTTAGATAGATTATAGATGTTACTGTGATTGTTTAAATTGATCCCCAAAATGATATAATTTGGAAGTGTTTTCTTTATGAAAATTTTAGGTATATATGTTATCTTTCAAATAGAATTATTCCTAATTTAATTGGAGTTATATAACTAAAAATATGACTTAAAAACTAAAGGAAGGTTGAACTTGATCCTCATTGGACAAATTTCATTAAGTATGATAATAGATGAGTTTGGTATATTAAGGGCATAACTGAGTTTTTTGCCCTTCAATAAAGTTATATAATAGTGTTTTAATTTGTAAAAGAGTCAAGACACTTTTCAAAATCAAGGTTTGAAACTTTACTTGTAAGCAAAACTATAAACAATGTTCTCAAGTAACATAATGGAGTTAGAAAATGTAATCATTTAACTTCTATTGAGAGAAGCAGTGAAGCATGTGAAAGGCAAAGAAGTGAGCAACTCACTTGTTGAAGGTATTTAAGGTTTTTCAATTAGATTTATTAGAAGTTGGGTTATGGTTGATTAACTGTTAGTTTGGGTTATTTAGGGTTTTCTGTTCATAAGTGAGACTGGGTCTTTTCATTACAGATTAAAATGTGAAATCAGGGGGGTTTCTTATTTAGATTTTAAATGTTACTACTGAAAATATTTCATTTTACATATGTTGTGGATTAAATTTTGTATTGTTATGTTTTTGACAAATTTTAATTCAAAAGGATCTTGACTTGTTTCCAGTATGCTAACAGTTAGGTTATAGGATGTAGAAATACATAGATTAGTTCTCCAACTAATTTTAAGTCTATTTAATTATCCTCTTTGAAACAATTTGTAATATTGGACTCTTTTCCTTTGATCCTTTCAATTTAATCTTCCACTTGTGATTTCATGTAAGAGAATAACATGACATTATTAGCATGGGATTTCATTTTATACATGTTGTGTATTGCATTATGTTTTTAATAAATTTTAATTCAAAAAGATCTTTGCTTGTTTTCAGTATGCTAACAGTTAGGTTATAAGATGCAGAAATACATAGATTAGTTCTTTGACTAATTTTAAGTCTTTTTAATTTATCCTTTTTAAACCACTTATAATATTGGAATCTTTTCATTTGATTCTTTCAACTTAATCTTTTACTTGTAATTTTGTAGAGAATATCTTTTCAACTTAATTTTTCACGTAATTTTGTACTGAGAGAATATCTTTTCAACTTAATTTTTCACTTATGATTTCATACGAGAGAATAGCATGACATTACTAATAGAGGATTTTATTTTATACATGTTGTGTATTGCATTATATATTTGGCAAATTTTAATTCAAAATAGAATTTATACAGATTACATCATATAATCATATAGTGTTGTAATACTAACATTGCAGAAACTTGTTTCCAATAGGCAACAGTTATGAGTGCTCTAAATGTATCTTGTACTACTAACATTGCAATAACTACTTTACAAAGTGCAGAAACACCCACGATTGGAGCTCTAAATATATTATAATTTTAATCTTTATTTTGAATTTTCTTATTTGAAACAGCTTATAAAATTCCACTCTGTCTTTAGTATTTTTAATTTAATATTCTATTTTTCTAATAATAAATTATAATTATGTTAGATACTTGAAAATCAACCAGATTTTACATTATAAATAGGTTTTACATAATAAATATGTTTTCATGTATCTTTTTTTTTAATTGAGAAAGGAAAAGATATTATTTATACTTCACAAAACAAATTAAAAAAATATATGAACTAATAAATAAAAAAATAATTAATATTAATTAAACATTAAGATGCATGTTCATCAACTGTTCCTTTTATTTTAAACCTTTTCATTTATTTAATCTTGGCAGCTAACAAATAATTTTTGGTAACCAAATTTGCTTTCTCCTGTTCTACGAAAAATAATTTCTTATGCTGTTCTGCAGGCTGGCCGTGGACGACTAATAAATAAATGGCTTATTACGAATGAAACCAAGACGGCTAAACCCAAAGTAACCACGTTAGACCCTACTTCCTCATAGAATTTGGACGATTTACCAATCTCTCTCCAGGTGGCCAATCAAAACTGTTTAGCCCGAATATCAGATTCACCTTTATTGCTCCCACAGCATAAAAAAAGAGAGAATGTTTTACTGACATTAAATTAACTTTAAATTATAAACATGGCAGCAACTGTTAAACTCAAAAACAATTTCCCAATAGTAAGTCATAATTACTAACCATTTAACATAATACATAAATAGTGTCGATGGATCTAAACCACCATGTTCGAATTTTTGAAAGCTGCACGCGATTTGAACAGCAAGAAACTACCAGTATGAACATCACATGATTCACATTATCTTATCCAACTTCAATTTCAACTATAGGGTCAGTCAAGCGAGAGCCAAACGTTTTTCTTTCAAGTCATAAAGCTACCTTCATAAACTTACTCTGCGTGATAACCATAAAAGATACTTCACCTGTTTTTCAAACACGACATAATTCTAAAAGATGGCAGCTATTTACCATAGTCTTTATATAATAGTACACAACAAATTATCTGTCCATCAAAGAATACAAAATTGTCTGATGTATTTGTCCTCAAGACAACTACATGCATGTACAAAATTATTACCATATCCAAATCGCCTGACTCTGCTACCACAGAAACATAACCACAACATCGTTATCTACTACATACTCACCAGATTGAGCATCATAGACCATCTTCGAAGGTATCAAATTTTAATGCATGAGAAACAGAACAGGGCAAGCAACAGAAATTTTGGCATTTGAATATTGACATGGATTTTCAACAGAGAGAAGGGCATGACTATCAACCATATAAAGATACAGTCGAGCAAAAAGGAAACAGTGCTTTTGAATTATATGTTCAACAGATCTTTGACAAGCACAAAAACCTAGAAGAACTAGAATGTATACCCCCAAGAGATTTTCAATGTAAAAGAACTAGAATAAGATCACTTGATCATCAACAATATAATGTGACCTGGCCAATAATATGGGAACAGAAAGGAGCAGACAAAGGGTGGAATTCAGATTAACGAAGATAGCATATTCGTATTTTACCATTGTGTGAAAGAAACCAGTATTTTGGATTTCACTATATGAAAGAGTAAGTGCTACTGTATGAAGTCAAGTGATTGAGAACTCAAATCTGAGCCCCTGCAATTAGGGTGACCAGGCTAGAAGCCCTCATTCCAAAAAAATAAAAAATTGCTGTTGTGTGAAAGAAGCATTGATAAGTAGTAAATCCTCAATGGAAAGTCCACCATACAGAAAATTGCACCCAGCCTATGATATTTTCAATTCAAAGAACTACAATAAGGTCAGCTGATTGTGAACTTTCTAACGTGACCAACAATATAGGGTAAAAAGGAAGAGAAGGTTGGATTAATAGATTAAACCAAGAGCATTTTAATATTTTAACATTGCGTAAACAGTTGCAATAAATATGGCCCTTGTTTGCAGTGGAAATCTACTGTGTACATGGGTAGCACACCACTCCCAAGTTCCAGCAATATTAGTAGAGTTGGTATAGCATCAGGAGGACGTTTTAGAGACATGGGAGGTATTTCCATTGGTGAAACAAGCATCGCCAACTTAGTGAAGATTAAGTAGTTTATGAACAAAAAAAGGGACCAACCCACATTCCCAGCAGGAAGAATCACCATAAAAAGAAACCAGTGATTGCCTGTAACCCGAGAAACTACTTCAATACAAGATATAGAAAAACTAGCTGCTGGAAAAAGCACAAGCCCAGTTGTTCCAGAATAAATAGTTGATTGGTAAGTATGGAAACCTGTGATTGTTCAATCAAACACAACAGTTAAAGAAAGTGCGTTCATGTGATTGTATCCAATGGAGACCTAAAAGCTGGAAAAATGATATTTGAGGTAAATTTTACATGGATTTTTTTTTTAAAAAAATAACCCTGAAAGATTTTTATAGAGATTATATTTCTAGAAATACAAATTATAATGTTAATATAGCCCAGAAACTAAGCAGTATGCAGCAATTCACAGACAGGAGGAAGACATGATATTCTGAAATGTAGAAACAAAGATGAAGTGTGAGCTCCATAAGCAAGAGTAATATGATGATGTAATATCAATGCAAAACAGAAGGAAATCGAGTAGATATTCATGAAAATGCGTTGTTAGCCTTATGACTACAATGATGATGATGATTTAATGAAGTTTTTCATTATATTTTGATGATAACATAAACATTGAATATTTATTTTGTTAACTAAATAATATGTTATATGTCAATTATAACATTGATTTGATATAATTTTGATGAATGCATGCCATGTTCTTGCATATATGTATGTCATATTGATAATATTTATGTTGTTAACTAAATAATATGTTATATGTCAATTATAACATTGATTTGATATAATTTTGATGAATGCATGCCATGTTCTTGCATATATGTATGTCATATTGATAAATCATGATATATGCCATTAAACTTTTAAATGCCATGAAATAATGCTTAAATGATTTAATAAGTCTATACTAAAATGCTACATGAAACATGCTTGTGTCACATGCATTAATCTTATTTTAATTGTCAAGTAAAACACAATTCATGCCATATAAATATGAATATGTTTATTATATGTTACACACACATTGCGATGATTTAGATTCAAGAAATCATTAAATAAGCATGGAAAGGATTCACGAAGGTTAAGAATGAAGAACTTGTAAATATAACAGTTATCAACTTCGCCAATCAAGATCTTGCAATAGGATTTTGCCAAATAGCACCTGACTTGTATAGGACAACTTGTAATATCCACACAACCTAAACAAATCCTAAAGAACCAAAGAAAACCAAGAAATGACTAAAACACAAAAACAAGATGAAATTGGATAGTAACCAAAACAATCCAACCATCCAGGCTATTTAATTATTGCATTTATATTGTTAATTGCTTCCGCGTTTGCTTTAGTGCTTAGAAATGTATGTTCTTAAATAATAAATAAATAAATTGTAGCTTTACCTTGCATACCTAATTCATCCCTCTTAGGTTCACCTAGGCTATCCCTCTAGGTTCTAACAATGCACCACTAGGATCATCAGTAAAAAGGCTCCCTCCTAAAATAAGTAGAGTAGAGATTGTACGGACAAAAAACAACAAATGCATTCTGTGTTTGGCAACATGGTTTCCCAATACTAATTCTTGGGGCAGAAATTAATTAAAGTATAAAAATTGCCAGAAATAAGATGGACTTCCCACAACTTAATGATAAGACCTGGTAAAACAAAATGAAAGGAAAGAACCTAAAATGTTCTAAGATCTGCAGATGGAAGAATAGATCAAGCAAACAACAACAGGAACCTATAACCATGGCCACTTGCATATCTTCCCATTTGATCTTGAAAGGCACAGTTATAAGACACCGGAAGAGTTCAGCTGTAGAAGCCTAGAAAACGAAGTCTACTCCAGACGAAACCTAACACGGCTAAGGAAACATTTGAGGAAGATGGGAAGAGAATTCCAAGATTTTTACTATTCACCTTCAAATATCAGGAAGTATTGTCAAGGCTTAAGTGGCCATAATAAATGCCTGGATCAAGTTTTCAGCAGCCTTTTTTTGCTCTGGCGTGCCAGATATACAAGCAATACGATCACCTCTTGCAGAATTGGCATCAGAGATTTCAATCATTGCTCCTGATATCTGAAACACCGCAAAAGATAGAAAAGAAAACAATTGATGTCCACGAGAACTTCATCCAATCAAAGCAGCATGAGAGAAATAATAGAGGGAAAAGGCATTGATACAATCAGATTTCAAAATATTTTCTGGAACATTACTAACGTAAATACAAAATACAATTTTAGAAAAAGAATCATATATTAAGACAGACTCAAAACTTTTGCATCCCATATTTGTAATTTTTTAGATTAAAGAGCAGTAATACAAATATTAGATGCTTGTATCATGATAAGCATGACAAACAATAACAAAATATCCTTGCACAACACTAGCTAACTAGACAATTTCAGGTCTATTAAATGTGGATATACGACAGCCACATACTGCATCCCTGCTATTCTCAAGGAGAAGCTTTAATAATTTTTGTTGGATGCGAAAATGCTTCTCCAAAAAACACTGAATTGTTACTACATACTGATAAATCTGTTGTCTCCTAAAGATACTGTGGCCACCAGAAAACAAATAGACGCATGATGTGGTGGAAGCAAAGCAAGGTGGATGATTGCTAACAACCTAACATGGTGGAATAAAACTGAGCAGAGGTATTAGTGATACTGCCAGGAAGCATCTAGAGAGTTGTCAAACTGTATTCACAATCCAAATACCATATCCAGTAATTCACTGTGATAATTAACTTCCTTCCTCTCTTACGTGAGTGGAATAGTTCAATAGATTTTAACTTAACAAGCCCCAGCAAGATGTACTCATTGTTGGCCCCAGATATTCTGCCACTAAAATAAATTGCCATGACTTGGAATGAAACTACCACACACTCACATTATTAATTTAAAGCAAGACACATAATGTACCATCCCTAAAAATAGTTAATGCACCCTTTTCATCAAATACAAGTGTGCTTCACTGAAATCCTCCTAGGAAAACCCAGGAAGAAAAGAAAAAAGGAACAAACCTTTCGGATGTTGGCTATATTTGCACCTCCTTTACCCATCACTTTGCCAACTGCATTAGCAGGCACTAACATTTCAAGAGTTGAGGGTGAAGGCAAACTGCATAGATGCAGAAAATCAGTTTGCATGGATGGTATAGAAGTCAAAGAAAACAAAATTCTGGGATTTCAAGAGCACAACGTACTAACCCTGCATACAGCTTAGATGAAGAATACGAGGCCAGAGAACCGTAGCTATTTTCTACCATCTAATAAGGAAAAAAAGCAGGAAAACATGAATGACATTGAAGAAAGAAAATAAATTGAAAAAAGAAACCATTAAAAAGTGCAGCAATCTTCAGTAAATGAATAACAAAGCCTCAAAAGGCGATACTCCTAATACTTGTGAGGAATAAAGATTCGGGTAGCATTGATGTGGTAACCCCACTTTTACTGCTGTTCAGTGCACATAGCTTTAGACACGTTTTTATCCATCTTAAACCAGAGTTTTCCCCACCTTTCCTCATGATACAACCTTATCCCTTCTTATCCTATCTAGTTCTGCTTAGTCTAGTCTCGCCAAATGCACCATTAGGCAATAATCTCTTCCCACATTTTTCAATACAGTATGATTTTTGGTAGGGTTGTTTGCTTTTGGAAATGAGTCATAGGTTATGTGCAATGCAGAGTATCAGGTATGTTTTTATGATATCTTATGTGAGGTTCAATAGATGGAAGGACAGTAGGATCAGGTGATGATATGCTCTTGCTTATGTTTTTTCGTGTATCCAGATGTAGAGAAATGCTGGGGTTTTCAAGGATATATTTTTCTATCCAACAAAAGAGTTAAAATATTATATCAAAGCTAGAGTGGGAAAGGATGTCTTTCTCATATTCAGGGGCTGCGCAGGAGGGGTGTTCTGCAGCAGTTACAGTGAGAAAGCCTTGCTGTTATTTTCCTGCTCGAGGATGATTGATGCAGTCAAGAAAATGAAATATTTAAGTTTTATGTCTAATTTTATTAGTTTCATAATTTCTTCTCATGTTGGGATATAGGAATTTACAATTATTATGACTGCTTTTGCGTTTTATTTTAATAAAGATGTTTATCCTTCATTAATTTATAAAAATTTAGGATTCATTGTTGCAATTCATTGTCTCTATGTAAGAAAAAAGAATTTCACTTTCAACTTTTAGATGTGGATTTCCTCTAGTGTTGTGAGGTTGACGCCTCATGGGTGGAATCCTCTTGTTGAAACTGAACAACAAACTTAATAGAATTAGAGATGGAACATTTAGTGTAAAGCAAAAAAATAAAAGTGATTGAGCATCTTAAAGAATCTATATATCATTCCCTTAAGCTCATAGTAATGGACATACTCCATCAACTGCATAGTCCCAATCCCAAACTCCTAAACCAATGTCCAAAAACTCCATACTAATTTTGAAAAGAAAGCTAACAGCTATTTTGATGAAAGAAGTTGAAAAGAAATTTCACCACCAGCTACATACCGGTAAGGATCCGTATCCATAAAGGCTACTTGATGAAAGCAGGCCCAATCCACTTCCACTTTCAGCCCTCTGATCATAACCCATTGGAGCAACTGGCGGAACAGAAGGCAGGATAGATGGTATAGAAAGACCAGCACCAACAGGGTATACAGAGTCAGCACCAGCCAAAGAATTCAGACCACCATCCTTTTCTTTCAATACATCATCTCTGAGCCTTAGAACAATCTGGACAAGTGCATCTCTAACGCTACTAACTTCTCCAACAACCTATTATGGTGCAAGGTTGACCCAAAAAAAATATTTACAAATGGAAAAAGGAAAAACAAGAAACTGAGCAAGGTTTACAAATCAGACCTCAACAAGTTCATCATTACTATCAGCACAATTAGGCTTAGCCCCTTTTGAGATGCGGACATCAGCATTAGTTCTCTTTCGAATTTCGTTTATAGTTGAACCACCTTTTCCTATGATACACCCAATAACTTTAGATAGAACAAGGAGTCGACTGCCAACAGTGTCATCATCTTCATCATTAATCTTTCCTTGAAGCAATAAAATGGCTTCAACAGCCATGGATTTCAAATCATCAGGAGACTGCCAATGGTAAATGTGGATAATTAAAACCCAATTTATATCATGAGAAAGATAAGAATATTGATATCACATACCTAAAGCCCACACATCATGTGTTGTATTGGTAAAATTAAGCAAGTTTTGCAAAATTAAAGCACTTTTCACAGAATAAAAGAGCATAAAAACTAGTGTTGGAAAGCACAAACAAATCATTCTATTTGATTCGCTCAGCCACATTTGACAAAAATTAATATCCACATTGAATCATTGTAACACCCCAAAATTTGCATTGACTATAATTGATGATTTCTTTAGAATAATGTAACATTAGAAAAAATTAAGGGCCAAAAGACAAAGAGCTAAAGAAAAGAATGTTCAAAATGCAATTACCAACTTAACTAGGTGAAGTAGGATAAATTTTGCATGATTAAGTAGGTGAATAAGACAATGACTAAGGTGGTGAAGTATGACAATTTTTGCATGGTCATGCTTGTGAGGTGTCAAAAGGAGAGTAGAGATGTGCTCTCCTTCAAAATTTTCAATACTAATGACATATTTTTCTTCCATTTCTTGAACCTAAAAGAGTGCTAAACACCATCCTACAAACTAACACTACCAAACCACATAATTCCAAGAACAAATTGTGAAGTATTAGAGCTTAAATTCAACATAATTGTTAGAAAGAAAACCAAAGATAGATTGTGAGGTTAGAAAAGAAAGGAAAGTAAAGGAAAAGGGGCTAAAACTTAAGGTGAGTGATTAAATTAATAAGTATGCATAAATCTATTGTTTTGGATATTTTTATGTATGAGAATTTGTTTTAAATGTTTGTTGAATTTTCAGAATATATATATATATATGACCTAAATTTTGAATGGAAACTTCATATGATAGTTGATAAATAAGAGTATGATTATGAAAGATTGAAGTATAATGTGTTCTTTTAAAGTAAAAGGATATGTTTTAGTTCAAATATTGTGTTAATATAATTGCAAATGATATCTAAAAAGAGTAAAGTTTGCTTTACGTGAGATTGTGGCCGCCTATATGCTACCATTGAGTAGTATATGGATATGAGATATGGACATTCAATTGTCATTCATGTTTACTTGTGCAACTATCATGTCAGTATGATGTTAGGAATATATGCTGAAATCTTATGAAGTTTCTCATGCTTATTTTTTTAATTATTCACTAGGTGGTCTCATTAGTAGTTGATAAACTATTTTTAGAGAATCAAAGTGAGATTGAAAGAGGGCTTGGGTAATAGGCTACCAAACAAAGTGTCTTTGGAGTCCTAGCTTGAAGTTTAATTTAAATGGTGCAATTATATCTTTCATAGATTAGTTTTTGTGTCTTTCATAGATTAGTTTTTGTGTATGGGTCATTGCACATGTAAATGCATATGTAACATATAATTTATCAACACTTTTAATGTGTAATTGCTAAATAAAACATTTATTGATACAATCCAAGTAAAGTCAGATCCAGATTTGATGTAAAAATTTTTGATGTACAGTTTTACGCTATCGAGCATAATTTTCAACTCGACTATTGGATTCAACTGAAATTTTCATATAAGTTTTTAGACATTGTTCTGTGTTGGGATAAAATTTCAAATCAATCAAAGCTCAGGATGGCCTTGCGATACATGTCAAATAGGTTGTAAGAATTATGTTATTTTTTTCCTTTTGACTTGTGGACTTCGTATTTGGCAAGGATTCTTTTCTTATAAGGATGTGGTAGCTTGTTTTCGTAATTTTCTACTTCTACAATGATCTTTAATAGGCTGCAACATAATTTTCAAGTGTGGCAAGGATTCATTAATGTTCCAAAATCATTTTCTTATAAGGATACCTTATTCATCCTAGCTAGCTGCACAAGGAAAAAAGAGCCGAATGTATCTAATGACATATTGGCTAGTTTATTTTGGGGACTTTCCTAATCCTATAAGGAAGGTTAAAGAATGACAACAAGGGTTTCCATACTTTGAGAGGATTTTTTAAAGATACAATTAATTATCCCAGACAAACAAGGAAACTAGGAAACTAAAAAGAAGGCAACTTCAGCAATCAATTTCCTAGCTTATTTTAGATATCTAAAGGTGGCAACAAAGATCCTAGTGTTTCTAGGATGAAAATTCCGTTCATGACATTATTTAAACTATAAAATTTATCTATCTTAGGATATTTTGTTTAATTAAGTGCAGCAACTTTAGTTTATGTGTCAGATTTGTTGTTTTTATTATTTTCTTCATGTTTGGGCTTAGTTAACATACTTTGGGTTTATTGTGAGTAGGTAAATATTAGCCCACAAGTTTTGGTCCATTAGGGTTTAAAAACTATTATATAAGGTTTTGTAAGGTTTTGTAAGCTGAAATTTTACCCCAACATAGAACAATATGTCTAAAAACTACTTTCGGCCCGATCCAACAATCAAATTGAAAATTATGCTAGATAGCGTAAAACTGAACAATAGAAAATTTTACGCTAAAATCCGAATCTGACCTTATTTGGATTGTATCATCTATGTACAAAGATATAGAACATACATGAATGAACTAGAAAAGATAAGATGTCTTGTAAGTTTTTGTAATGGACAGCAGGTTATATTAACCTATAAATGCATGTTTGGCTGGTAAATTTAATTGATTAGGTAACAATAAGAGGCAATTAGAGGGGTGTGTTTACTCAGCTAACTAAAAGCATAGCAAGATGAAATATCACAGTAATTAGAAAAGGGGTGTGACAGCTATAGAGACTGCAATCCGATTTAACTAAGTTGCTCATATAAAAAGTGCAGCTTGATGATCCCATTTAAGTCATTTTCATAGATTATTCAACTCTATAATGCAGTACATCAAATATGCATTTGAGAGTCTCTTTAACAGCATCTCTACATAAATCAATGCAGAAAAAAGCAGGACTCCTGCATTACCACAAAAGAAACAAATCATAAACAAAGAGAAACGCCATACCTCAGTTGCAGTAACTGTAATGATACACTCATCACGATCAGCCTTCGTATCATCAACCTCAATACGAGCACCACTTGCCTGTCTTATGCTTTTAATGGTACTCCCACCCTTGCCAATGACACGCCCAATCTTGTCAAACGGGCATAATACTCGTATAATTAACTCCTCATATCGAGAGAAATTGCCAAGACTAGGAACTACCGGGAGTGTAGATGAATAAACAGGCCAAGAACTCCCCATATCCCCATAACCCTGAAGTTCTGGTATGTGTGTAGCACCTAAGATTGGTGGAACAGATCTAGAAGAAACAATTGGATCTGCATTCGGATAAAATCCACCCGGTTGATAAATAGGGACATCTGATGGTATAATGATGCTTGGAGGAGGCTCTGGTACAGTTGCCTCAAGGGGTATTTCTTCTTTTGGATTGAACTTATACATGATTGCCGAAACTGCAAACAAAGCTTTCTTCACAGCTTCTGATTCACCGGTTATCTGATCATAACACAAAAATTAACTCTTGAACCCCTCAAAAATCAACCTTTAGAGAAAAGCATAAGCAACAAAAAATCAAATGTCAATTAATTTCATCACAGACAAAAAAAAAATAAAGATAAAGAAGCTGAACGGTTCCAAAAACACTATGGTTCTCCTTCTATGTTAATGAAAAGTGCAACAAAATGAAAAGAGCTCATACGTGCAAACTGACAAACTTGAAAGCATCAACAGGAACTTGGCTAAAAACTTGAAACCTAAATACAACTTTACTGAAGCAACCATCCTTACCAATAGACAGACATCAGTCTCAAGCTAAAGAATCCCAGTTGAAACCTCTATCTGTCATCTTAAGATTTAGTGCAGCATTAATACAGCCTAGATATCATGTGCAATAATAGTTTGTGAGTTCGGATTCCATCAGGATCAATGACAACTCACACAAGCAAAACAGTATTAGAATTTCACAATGTAAGTCAAGGGGAACCCACAATTTTTAAGCCCTCAATGAGACTTATAGTTAACAGCATTTAAATGCCAGTTTGTTTGTGATTTCTGCTAGGCTTTTTCTCCAAGGAAAAACAAGTTCAATTGCAAAAGGATCCACATATATTTTTAGAAAACCATGCTTGCAGACAAATTAGAACCTAATAATTAGAATTTGATTAATTTTTAACAGATAAATTCCGCATGAATAACCTCAACAATAAATCAGAAGGAACTTAAAGTCCCATTTACTAACCAGAAGAAAGTTGTCAAAGTCCATAGCACATGAGTGAGTTGGTTCAGTGGCATCTTTTGCAATGATTTTAATGCTGGTCCTGGTCTTGCTTCTCAATCTCTTTATAGTTGCCCCAGCCTTGCCAATAATATTTGCGGACTGACTAGCTGGGACAAGAATCTGGCATTCCTCCTTGTCTCTCAGTCTCTTGTCAGAATCCCCAAGAGATGCAACAGCATTAGAAATCGCAGCATGAACTTTAAGAAGAGCATCCTGTGCAGGACACAAAGGGTTGGTGTGATTGAAATCATCATCAACATCAACATCTTCCTTCTCCTTGATATGGCAATAAATCGTTAAGATCCTATCCTTGGCACCTGGAAACGGGTCCACCACCTTAACTCTTGCCCTTGACTCATGCCTTATGGAGTTTATGACTTTACCACTCTTACCAATGACACTTCCAATTACCTCGTCAGGGCATAATATTCTATATACAATCAGTCCATCATTATTAGTACCTTTATCATCTTTGTGCCTCTTCTGATTATTAGTATCCCCATCATAATCTCTTTGGGGACGCGACCGCTTTCCACTCTCCACCATTTCTTTCTTATCAATAATTATTGAAATACCTGAAACAATTTTAGAAACATCTCATTCATCACATAGTATCCTAGTTTTATACTGATTAACACAAAAATTTACTCTGGAAGCACTTATCAATGCCTTCACTATACATTATATCAGCATGCATCAAACACACATAAAAAAGTAGCCATTTTTAATTAAAAAATAGCAAAAAAGAAACTAATCTATAACAGTTACAGTAGCCACAGACGCTGAATTTCAATTTTAAGTTTGGAATGGAGAATTGCCAAAAACAGATAAACCCAATTGAAATTTAGAGCTAAATATAAAGAATAAAGTGCGAACGAACCTGTTAGTTAGTTAGTTGAATTGCGGGGAGGCAAAGATATGTTATGATAAACCCTAATGATAAGCAAACAGAGAGAAAGAGATTAGAGAGGGAGGATAAGAACAAGGAAAAATATGGATGTGAGATGCCTGTCTTCTGCCTGTCTACGTTTACTTTTACGAGTACTAGGCCAAAGCCTCTTTCGGATTCATGTCCTTTCCACTACTCACGAAGTCAAAAACGAGCCTCCTTCCTTCTCTTTCATTTTTTCCTTTTTAAGGTTGGTTTTCTTCTTGTTTCTTAACCGCTTTTCGAGCAATTTATTATGACTTTGTTAACGAATAATTTTATTTTTCAGTTAAAAAAATAACTATATATACACATAATTAAATAAATTCAAAATTATTTACATCTACAAATATAAAAAAAGTATTAATGATAAATTAAAAAATAAATATAAATTGAAATATTTAATTGTATAATACAATTTATATATCCAGTTATGTTTAGTAATTTTATTTTTTTGAATAAGTTTTTTATTTAATTAAATAATATTTATGTCAATAACACATTAAAAAGTGGTTGAAGATAAATAAAGATTAAATTTAAAAATTAAAAAGATAAATATAAATAAAAATATTTAATTTCACAATATAAACTATATATCTAATTCTATCTAACAATTTGTTTTTAGAATAAATTCTTTATTTAATAAAACAATACTAGAATTGGCACGTGTTACGCCAAGAATAATGAAAAAATTTATTCAAACACCAAAAGAAGTATCTAGAAATTGCTAACATGTATCCTAAAAAATAAATATATTTTAACAATTAATTCAAAATCAGTTGCATGCTATATGATATTTTTATATAATATTGAAACAGAAACATATTAGATTTAACTCGGTCAACTCGGGTTGACTTATAAACCTACGAGGATAATCACGTAAAAAACAAATAGGTTTAGCTCAATCCTTATTTAAATCAATGTTGAAGAATAAAATTATTAAAAAGTAGCACTCTATTAAAAAAAACTCAAGTAAACTTAAGTTAAAAAGCTAAATTCATGACACAAATCATCAAGTTTAATAAAAAAATTATCCTAAAGATTATTTTTTATTTAATTATATAATAAAAAAATACATGATAATTTTTATATATATAATATTTTTTTAAATAGGATAGACGCATGGGACTAAGATAACAAAAATAAGTTATTGATAACAAAGGGTAAAATTGTATCATTTTAGTTTTAAGTTAAATAAAAAAATTAGGTTATTGATAACAAATGGTAAAATTATATTTTTATTAAATTTAAATTAGACTTGTTGAACTCGAGTTATGGACTTAAATGGATTAAATAATTTTTCTTTCTTGAGTTTATATTTAAACTAAATATCAAAAAAATATAAAAAAGGGTGTGCGAATGCATTTGAGCCTTTAAAAAGAAAAGTATATGTGTGTATACCTTCAAACCTAGGTCTGCGTGATTGGACTTAGGTTTTTTTTTTTTAAAGAATAAATAATATCCAACCTTATTTTTTTAAAAACAAAATAGATAATGTGTCATCTTCTAACTTATATTCTAACCACCATTGTAGTAGTTAAATGATATCCAACCTTATTTTTTTGAAAACAAAATAGATAATGTGTCATCTTCTAACTTATATTCTAACCACCATTGTAGTAGTTAAAAAATCAAGTCGGTGAGTTTTTATCCTAAAAATCTAATTTTTTTAGTCATTTTAGTTCAAAAACACTTTACCAAAATTCTTGGAACATCTATAAACCAATTCATTAACTCAAAAAACAAAAAAGAAAATCTAAAAATCCAAAGTCAAACTGGGTTAGATTTGTCTTCCTCAATATAGATCTATCTTTAGGTAATATTAAGGCTTTCAACAACCACTATCAAACTCCTCTTATTGCATGGAATTTGTTTACACTAAAAATAATCATTTTGGTAGTCAGAAATGCTATGAACGATGATTTTTCTGTCAACATCGAAATCTAACAATTTCTCTTATCTAATATCTAAATAATAATAATAATAAATTTTTGTAATAAAATTGAATTGCAAAAATACTGGGTGACTGAATGGACATAATTTAAAAGTTAAAGGAAAAATTAAACTTTTCATGAGAATATTGAACCTGTCACCCATTTTCAATGCTTTTTCTACATTGGTCACTCTTCTTTTAATCTTATTTTTTGTCAGTAAATTTGAATCAATTATCTTTTCATCTAGCCCTAAAAGGATACAATCACCCAAAAAAAAGAACCTTAAGGACCAAAATAGAAAAATAAACAAATAAACAACAAATACATAGTGAAAAGTAAAAGGCTTCATAGTATAAATTCCTATGGTAATTTACTCACATGTTTTAGTGTTTTCTATAATAATTACAAGTTTCTTAATTCTAAATTGACATTCATGTTTGTTCAATTCCAATTAATTTTTTGTTTAACTCCAATTTGCAAAAACCCTTATATTTCAAAAAAAAAATAAAAAAAAATTATTTTGATGAAAGAGTTTCAAACGAAGATTATATTTTATATAAAGGTAAAAGAGATGAAAATTTACTATTTTTTTCATTTTGCATACAAAATTTTGATAGGGAAAAGTTTTTTTTTCCTCTTTCTCCCTTGGTTCACGCACAAAATTTGGATGGGAAAAATTCATGAAAAGTAACACTTAGAAAATGAGTAAAAAATTGTTTAGAGAGAAAAATCTTTGGTTTTATATTTTCCCTCTTGTTTTTTGTTTTAATTTAATATGTATATTTCAATATTTATCTTACACCTTCATTTAGGATCCATTGACTTATTTTATTTTATTTTTATAAAAAAACTTAATTCAACATATAATTTAAACTTATACCAAACACCTTTAACATTTCCTACTTTAACAATTGTTTGAACTTTTAACATTTAAATATTATTTTCTTCACATTTTCCCTTGTAATTCTTAACCTCGTACCTAAAACAACCATTGTTGTTAAAAATATTTCAATTTCTTTTTAAGATCTAGGTTTTCCTTTTGATTCTTCTTTCAAATTTTTCTGATTATGAGAGTTTTTTTTACTAGTTTTCTATAAGTTTTTACATGTCTTGTTAATAAGGTAGTGACCTATATGGTTCATTTTCATCATTTGAATTGTTTATCTTCCCATAAGTTCATCATTGAGAAATAAAAAAAAAATTAGTAAAAAAGTATTTGTAAAATAATATGAGGACATTGTTATTAAAAAAAATCAAAAGGCAAATAAGAATAAATCACAATCATGTCTTATAGAAAAGATATGGGTATCCAAATATGTAGATTATTCTTAATACAAAGCTTTAGTATCATTAGTAATCACCTTATATTCACCTCCAAGGAAAAAAAGAATAAAGAGAGAAGGATATGGACTAGGTATACTAGGTTATGTGTCTACCCTTAGACATAATGATTAGTACTTAAAAGTGTATTTTTATCAAGGTTTTATATCATAATTTTGCACTTGAAGTATCAATAGCTCCTTAACTAAAGTATTTTTTATAATAACATATCTAATAATATAAGATACCTTTAATTTATGGTAAATGTTCATTTTAAATGCAGGCCTATCACATAAATAAAAGGATTGATTGATGAGTTTAAGAACTGAAATTGAAAGGACAAAGAGATGGTCAAACTTATAAAAGAGATGTTGATACAGTCCAAACTGGAACACTGTTCGGTAATTAGATCATATCTGGAGTTGTAGATTTCAGATTTAGGTCTACTTTATATGAATAGAAAGGTAAGACATAGGTCTACAACTTTCATATAGGTCTACTTTTAAAAAGCGATTTTCAAGACCAAATTATAGCAAAAACAAAGAAGTTCGAATCTATCCTGCAGCTCGAATACTGTTTAGTGTTTAGCCCATATCTAGTGTTCTAGAACTCCAAATGACCTCTAGTTTTTTTTCTTTTAAAGAAGCTGAGACAATTTTCTACAACTTTCATGTTTATAAGTGGTTCCAATTCTGACGTTATAAATGACGTTTTGGACAAATAAAAAAAGATAAGGATTGTCACCAAGTCAAGAGTTAGCCACCCACTCATTAATTAGTCATCAAATCAATAGTTCCTAATTTTGGCCTACAAAAGGAGGCATTTTCCATGTATTTAAGCATCCTGGTTTCCAGATCAAGATCATGCTCTTGCTTTCTTTCTTTGTATTGCTTAAGTTTTGCTTTCATTCCTATCAAGTTTATACCTTTCATTTCCTTTCCTTTACTTGATTAACTTTTATCTTATTTATATTTTTATTTTGTTTATTTATATTTCTTTTTTTCATTATGTTCAGTTAAGTTTATTGTGTGAAGGTGAAAAGGTTATACTAATGGTGTAAGAATAAGTATAATATAAACTCAACATAGACCTTAATGTTTGATACTAACATGTTTTCTATTTCTTATCTTGTTCACTCTTTAATACTTTGCTTATTAAATGACTAATCTAGATTTATGTTGTATAACACTTGGTACAACAAATGCTTGACACTTTTATAACACAAACCATATGGTATAACCGATACTTGTGCTATGAAAGGAACTTGATTTGTTGTTAACATAAGTTATAATCATGAATGCCTGACAATATTTATAAGTATTAACATTATTTGAATAAGATAACTAATGTAATCATGTTAACAATTTATAATCTGATTGGAACCTCTTTTGTATGTGGTTTTTATTTAAGTAATAAGAGTTTATATTATACTTGTTTGAAATACTATTAGTGGATCCTTTAACCTTAACATTTTTTGTTATCATTGTTTAATCCTTACGTTAATCTTTCATCTCAAAGTTCTCATCAAGTCCAAATTGTAGCAACAACAAAGAAGTCCGAATCTGTCCTACAACCCGTGCACTGTTAAGTGTTTGACCCAATTCTGGAGTTCTAGAAGTTCAAATAACCTCCATTTTTTTTCTTGGAAAGTTGAGACAATTTCCTACAACTTTCATGTTTCAAATGGTTCCAGTTCTAACGTTATCAATGATGTTTTGGGTAGATAAAAGAAGATAAAGATTGTCACAAAGTCAAGAGTTGGCCACCCACTCATCAATTAGTCATGAAATCAATAGTTTCCAATTTTAGCCTATAAAAGGAGGCATTTTCCATGCATTTAAACATCTTGGTTTCCAGATCAAGATCATGTTCTTTCTTTCTCTCTTTGTATTTTTTGTATTGCTTATGTTTTGCTTTCATGGATTTCGAGTTTATACCTTTCATTTCATTTCCTTTACTTAGA